TTGTTGTGTCGTCCGTTCTGCATACCGTCGATTGATGGGTGAAAATGTTCACCAATTGACACCCCTTTACAGCTGATGATATTGCTACAACTATTGCTAGGATTTCAGCGAGGTTACGCCGACGTGCTCTCCCTCTATTCCGACGTGGTAATATCCGTACTGCTTGTCTTCCTAGAGCCTTCAATACTGACCAGGTTGCTCTTGCTAAGCATCTAACGGGCCATCCTACTGTGAGTGGTACATAAAGGAAAACATAACATCCCGTTACCACAAAGTATAATATTGTAGCTGTCGCCAGTATCGCACTCACTGGCCAGCACTCTGGGTTGAAGACATTAGTGCTGCAAAAAGTGCAATCTATTGATGGACAAAACGGTGCGGGAGGACAGATACTTTCAAAAGTTTCTACCGACTGAGGTAGAGAGATTTTCCACCGCACCCTGTATTCGTGCAAGATGACATCCGATGGGAAAGTTATTGTTTCGTTCACCTCTGGGTCTTTTACCTCAACACAGTGATGTTCCCCGCAAATTTCGTAGGGATACCTCTCTGGAAGGTGTATTTGGACCCCTTTATCCATACATGTGACGGCTCGTCTCGACATTTCCTTAGGCATTTCCGCGGCCATTGCTTGTCTAGTGCATATCAGTAGTATTAACACCAACATTTGCACTATTGTGGTGAAGAAGAACATACTCGACACTGGCGAACTGTGACGCTCGATATTGCTATCCTCATTATAATCGATTTTCTTACGAGTCCTTAGGTTATACCTGGAACTTCGATCTTCACCAGGGTCTGTTCGCAATGGTAGGCTCGGTTGTGTATTGTCCTGAGGGGTCGAATCTTGTTCGTTTTCGTCCAGTTCGAGAGGGACTAACAAATTCACTGGTCGTCGAACCAAACGCCGAGTTGGTAGTCTAACTACGGCTTCCCGTATTGTCCCTTTATTGTTCATCACCAGGGATTCAATAACTCCCATTTTCCATGTATGACGAGGCATTATTGCGTCAGATATCAATACCACTTGTCCTTCTCGTGGAGTTCCTTTACACCCCTTCTTATTCTCCATTACCGCAAGGTGCTTTTCTCGCAAACTCGTGAGGTATTCAGCATGCCAAAGCTGCCAAAATCTTTCGGTGAGTCTGCATGATGTTTCCAGTGCAGCAATCGCCTGATTTCTTGTTTGTATTGAGGGCAGCTCCGCAGCTGGAAGAAAGAGGGGATCCTCACAATCTTCTTCATTTTCAGAGGGGTGGAACGTAATCTCCATATCTTTCTGGATAAAGTCTATTGGACGCAGAATTTGAGTTGCGTCCGTATCGCTGCTGATGTAGGTAAGTGGACGAGTATTGACCATGGACTCTATTTCCACCACTATTGTTGAGAGTTCTTCAAACGTCACTATTGACCCTCCAAGGGTTTTGTATAGAGAGTATTTTACGGATTTAATAAGCCTCTCATAAAACCCTCCTTGCCAGGGAGCGTACGGCGTTATATGTTTCCATTCAATCTCTCTATTGCTCAACTCTTTTGTTATTGTCGGGTCACTTTGTGCCGCTTGAATATTGTTCCTCAATATTGTCTCACCCAGAAGGAACGTAGGGGCATTGTCACTCACGATCGTTTTCGGAACCCCTCTCCTGGCGAAAAATCGACGTAGCATTTGCAAGAATGCTACTGTAGATTGGTCTGACACTACGTCAAGATGCACCAGGCGAGTGACCATGCAAGTGATTATTGCTCCAAAGCATTTCCCTTGCTCTCCATTCGAGTACTTTATTGACAAGGGACCAAAGTAATCCAGACCTACTTGGCTGAAAGGTGATGCCCTGACAACCCTTTCTTTAGGAAGATGGTCTTGAGGTGGGTAGGGGTATGGCAGGTTATTGAGTTTCTGACATTGAATACACCTCCTTACGATCCGCCCTACCTGAGAACGCAATTGAGGAATCCAGTATTCCTGTCGTACCAAAGCCATCGTGTGATTTGTTCCTGGGTGGTACTTATTGTGGATTTCATAGATTATGATCTCTGCCAACAAGGACTTTTGTAGAATGAAAATGGGGAATTTGGTCCCACTGGGTATTTGAGCTCGACCTAGACGTCCAAAACATCGCAAAATACCTTCCCCATCTGGGCGGATATTGAGGTATTGAAGCCGGCTCTTGATCGAGCTGGTGACTCTTGTTCTTTGGTGGTGCCTAATTAGGATTTTACCTGCAAGCGCAATCTCCGGTCCAGTAATGTACTCTGGGTTTTCGGATATTGTAGCGGCTTGTATTGTTGAGAGGATCAACCTGTTCTTGTGGTTTCTGCTGATCTTAGACACTGCGGCCCTAATAAATCGCAAAACATATGCTATTATCCGCTTTGCTTTGGTGAAGGTTCTCACATGGCCTCGCTGTATTAATTCTGAGTCGACGTTATTGTCCGGTGAATTGGTGGAGAAGAGTTGATGGCTTACGTCTGCAGGCATATTGTTGATGACCTCTCCATCCTCATCTTGCGGAGCACTGAAGAGTTTCTCCTGGGCAGGCCAGGCTGACTGGTCTTTCTGTAGAAACCCTGGCCCCGTCCACCAAAAGTGGGTTTGAAGTTCTTCCGATGTTAATCCTCGCGTGCCGCAATCTGCAGGATTGTCCTCTGAGGTCACATATCCGTATTTGACGAAGCACTGCTGCTTATTGATATGTTCGGTAATTTTCCGTATTTCGGTCAAGCGGTTATAGACTAAAACTCCCATCTCCCGTTGAGGAACCTTCTTAATCCAACTGAGCACAATTTCCGAATCGGAATAAACGTAAATCCCTTCGATATTGATGCTCCTTTGCAACTGTGTAAGGACAGAAAGGCTGAGACGCATCGCTAGAGTCACTGCATTCAATTCGAGCTTTGGTATTGTACTCTGTACATGCAGTGAAGGTAACTTAGACTTGGCCATCAGCAAGGTTGCGCCTTTTGATGGTAGCTGGTAAAGATATGTACAAGCAGTCATGCCACTTGTACTGGCATCCGCAAAGGTAATCAATATTGCTCTGGTCTTTTTGAGAGCTAGGAACCGTGGTATTTTCTTCTGGAACCCCTGAAGATGACTTCGTACTTGTGCCCATTCTGTCGCCTTATCTACCGGTATCTTGCTGTCCCAATCATATTGCTCTTTCCAAAGTTGTTGCAGGAAAATCCGGGCCTTATGAAGTAGCGGTACAAACCAACCTAAAGGGTCGTACACTGTCGCTATTGCGCTTGTTATTGCTCGTTTAGTTACCGTGGGGGTATCGGGTATGGAACACGATGCTAATAATGCGTCTTCTCGCAGATCCCATGGTATACCCAATACCTTAGGTGATAGAAGGTCCGTTTTGTCGTTCTCCTGCACCGTTTTCATGACCTTGTCATCATTCGATGCAAACTCCCGTAGGTTCATACCAAGGTCTTTGAAAATCTGCTTCGATTTTCTGTATATCGTCACAGACTCCTGATAAGTATCTGACGTCAGGATCAAGTTATCGACATAAATATTGTTCTTAATCTCCTGTGCTAAAGGCTCGTTTCCATACTTATTGAGATGATATTGTGTGGTACCTGCCAGAAGGAAAGGGGAAGACTTTATCCCGAAAGTCACCCGGGTGAACCGGAAGGTCCTTATATTGCCTTTGTCAGGGGGTTTCTCGTAATCCTGAAGCCAGAGGCATCTTGTGGCATCTCGATCCGCTTCGTGCAAGCGAATTTGCAAGAATGCCTTCTCAACGTCCGAGATGATGGCTATTGCTCCTATTCGGAATCTTAGGAGTAGACCAAATAAAGAAGGTAATATCACGGGTCCTCTATGTAGGACATCGTTGAGAGAGGGACACTCCTTATAATGTGCGGATGCATCAAAGACAATCCGAAGTTTGGTTGTCGTCTTGTGTGGCGTTACTACCGGCTGGTGGGGTATGTAGTGGACGGGGTTCCCAGTTATTGCTGTATTGCTATCTACAACCTCCACTATGCCTTTCTCGAGCTGATCTTCGAAGACTGCATGGTATTGTTCGAGAAGTTTAGTGTCGTGCTTCAAGGTGGTCCATACGTTGACCAGTCGCTTATACGCTATGGCGTAATTATCGGGTAGGGGTGGATGGTTGTCTTTCCAAGGTAATCGGACATAATAACCATCCTCGCGCTGCTCTATTGATCGATTGAATTGATCCCAAACCATTCTGTCTATCGCATCACGCGCTTCCCTGTGTGGACCCATAAACTCCTCGGTACCTGCTGCGTCTATTGTCCAATATTTTTCCCACATTTCTTGCTCTTGTTCGGATATTGTCGAATCACAAGGGACAATGGTATTGACATGGGTATCCAATGACCAAAAATTGTCCCACTTCTTGCTCTCCTTTTCGTCTATCACAGCCGAACTCCCCTGCTTGGTGGTTTCCGCACTATTGCTCTCATCTCGTGAGATCGGAAGCACCTGCTGATGCTCCTTTTCTGTTATTGATTTCATTTTCCCCGAGGTTACATAACCTAACTTCGTTGGGATGAGTACCAATCCGGACGGTAGAGTTACCGGAGTGGCATCGGACCGCATGAAAGACCACATCTGGTCGCATCCGAGTAGCACTGCTGGTCTGATATTCCCATTATTATTGCGGAGGTATTGGATCGGAATATTGAGGGTTCGTATTGCCTCCATATCTGATTCGGGGATGCTTGGAGAAGCGAAGGTAGAAGTGAGTACATCATGCGTGTATAGTAGCAAGGAATGCATGGTTCCTTCTGCATCCCACATTTCCATTTGAACAAGCTTACAAGAAGCTTGTCTCGTCTCCTTCGATCCGAAGGTATGGAGTTTCATTTGCTCCTCTCTCATTACTGGAAGGTCTAACTCCTTTGCCAAAGAGCTGTCAATAAATGATAGCTCTGCTCCGCTATCTAATAGGACATCAATTTTTATAAGTCCTTTCGATCGCGGATGGAGCGCCGTGATCTCTCCCGTGGGTAAGAAAGCTCTACATTTTTCTTTCGCGTGTAGAACGGCCGTGAGTTGCATCATGGTATTGTTGACCGGAGTATCGTTTCTGTCGATAACTTCATTGACAGAAGCAGATTTTTTATTGGCCTTTACTTTCTCTGAAGACTTGGGCGTAGACGATACGGAATTTTCCGTTTTCTTATTGCCTTGATCTACCCTGTAGTCCTTATGTTGTTTAAAACAACATGAAGTATGATGAAGACCTTTGCAGTTGAAGCAGGGACGCCCTCTGCATTCGGAGGTCTTATGGGATGAGGAGGCGCATATAAGGCATAAATTTTTCTGCCTTAGATACAAAGAACGTGCCTGAGGGGTTGCATGTACCGTACATGCGAAGGAAGAGTGCTCTGCATGACAGTACATGCATTTTCGCGCAACCGAAATCTTCCCTCGTTTCGTCTCGTGCGATGCCAGCTGATTGCGTGGTTGCTCCCCCATGTATGCATCACACATTTCTTCGGTCGATAGGAATTCATCCAAAAATTGGATCAGATTCTCTATGGTGAATGAATCTTGTGAAGCCATCCCCTGCCTTTTTGTGATGACTATACGCATAACCCTAGCAGGAAATTTAGTCAGGATTTTCTTAATTATCCACGAACTATTAATATTCTCTCCCTTTGCCGCTAACTGAGTCGTGATGACCTGAATTTCCTCTAGCAGTGAGCGCTGATCTTTGATCGACGGACTTTTCAAAACGCACTTGTCCAGTCGCTCGATCAGTTGGTTAACCAACAGTTCCTTATTGTTATACTTATTGATGAGGAACTGAATCGCTTTCTGATAGTTGCCACTTACTACTTGGAACCTCTTTATTGCTTCCCTCGCAGGGCCTTTTAAAGCATTTATGAGGTAGTTAAACTTAACCATCTCAGGGAGGTTCTGGGAATGTATATTATTGTCGAACAACTCCCAAAAATTTTCCCATTCCCATCGATTTCCCCCAAAGGACGGTATGGGAAGTGGTGGAAGGTCCAGCTGCTTCGGTTGCGCCAGCCTATTTGACATTTGCGGACCAACGGGTTCCGCTATTGATTGAATTGACGCTGTCTGACTCATCAATGAACGGAGTCGAGCTTGCAAGAGAATATTGAGGTCGAAAGCGGCTGATAGTACCAACTCAGTTTTTACAGCGTATTCGTCATAGTCTTTTGCCTCTTTATCGGATTTGGGCTCCAAGCTGTCCACCGTTAACGCATAATCACTCAACTGTTGTTCGACTCTCGAAAAAACGCTATCTATTGCAGCGCTCCCTTCCTCGATTCGCCTGATCAGGTCTTTAAGGTCGCTTACGGAAGAAGAATCCCATAATGCTTCCTCTAACTGTTCCTCCCTCAATCTTGAAACGATATGGTCAAGCTTATTGCTATAAAATGTCAAGAGCCGCTTTTGATTAGCGATATTCTGGGACATATTGCGCGACTAGAATATTGTTCCAATATCGATATTGAGGAGGTTACTGATTAAGCTATTGATCTATTGACACAAAACGGGAAAGGAGAAAAAAAAGAAATGAGAGTCACTTGTAGAAAAAAAATCTCCGTAAAACTAGGAAGCAATACAAGCGAAATCCGACCTGGTTCCGTGTTATAGCCGATGCACCAAACTTGTAGTGAAAGGTAGAGCTCGCCTTCAGGGATTGATTCCACTGGCCACGCGGGAACTGAGATATTGCTGGTGTCGACTTATTGCTGATATTGTTCTGAAACCCAGGGGTTATTGCTAAGTTATTGCCCTAGTGTAATATGTGGACTTACTCTCGTTAAGGTCCGTAGCGTATGGTTGGGCCTTATTGTTCGTATTGTTCTTATTGCTTTCTTGTTCCTAGAACAATACAATATTATAGGATTTATTAGCCCTTGAATCGAACCGATAGGTGAATAAGTACGCACGAGAGTAGAATGTCGTTCACCAAGGGTGCTGCAGAAGACGATATTGCTGAGCCGATATTGCTGTAGAGAGACGGTCGGAACCGGAACCCGGAAGCCCAAGCTCTAGGCGTCGCTGCTTTTATACGGCGTTGTCCCCTCGGCGACGGCGATGTAAAGAAACATATCTGAAAAAATGCCTTACAAGATCAGCCTATTGATAAGAAAAAGCTTAGCTAACTCAATCGATAAAATGAATAAAGCTGTCTAACCATATGTACAATAGTAGCGTTTTCGCTACACTCCGGGCGGCGCGTTATTGATGCCTTACTCGGGAGAGCTCCTCTTCTACTCTCCTGATTCGAGCTCTGATACGATCTTTGGAGTCGGGAATAACGCAGAGAGCCCTGTGGTGTTCTTGTTCTTCTACCAGAAAATATAAGGCCCTACCTCTCACGGTATTGCAATACCAACAATCCTTTTCTTCTGTTCGACACTCTGCTGCCTTGTGACCCCTTCCCAGACAAATTCGACACATCCCGTTCTCTTCAATGAAATTGTAACGCTCTTGACCAGTCGTGATTTCAGGACAGGAGTCTGAATAATGATGAGCTATCGCTCCGCAAAAGGGACACTTGATCCACTCCTTGACGTTATCGCTGTATCCAAATCTTCTGCGAGACAGAAGGGTGAAGCCGTCCTGCAACTCTGCGAGTTCATCCTCCAGCTCAGCGATGTACCGTCTACGTTCCTCCTCATGCCGGTCACGAGCCTGTCTTTCTTGTTCTTGTTCTTGAAACAGTCTTTCTTCGCGTTCAGCAGCTCGTCTTTCTTGGGCCATGATGAGCGTGAGATTTTCTGAAACAATAGAAAATAGAAATAGCTTCGGAAGCTACTGCCTAATAAGGAAGCTCTACCACATATTGCTTAAATATCTAGCTAAGTTTTTATCATTATCTAGTTATTGCTACGTGCTTAAATCTAGTTATTGCTATCTGTTACGATTACTGGGGGTTTCAGAGTGTCAAAGCTGCTTAGCGTGCCTATGACCCATTTCCTTATTGGATTTCTTGACTGTTTGGACAATATATGATATTGTACGCGTGACTAATCTTGGTATAAGTAATATTGTCCATTTCAGAAGGCCAATTCCGTAGGTGCATAAAAAAACGTAAGTTACGGTCAGAACGATAAGTAGTCCCACTATTGCCGAAATAAGGGTTTTGTACCACTGAAGGAATACCGTGGCAATATGGATCAAGTCCGGGA